TATACTGTAGAGTCTTTGCAAAAAAACAAACAGCTGAACAAAGAAAATTAAACGGTAGTTAACTGCATATTACTATTAAATTATACACTGAGACATAAATGTATGAATCTCTTTTAATTATCTTTATTTATTCACCTTTGTAATAACTACCTTATTTTTTTTTATTGTCATTTATTACTTATTTTTTGAAGTATTTATTTATGAGAATATAATATTTTTTTCTGTTTTAGTCTTCCTTTGTATTTTTTTTTACCCTATTTATTTCTTGAATGGTATTTATTTCTGCTTGTTGTTTTTGCATTTCTGCCAATGAGGAGGGGTGCGTCTCAGGGAGTCTCATTTTATAATTTAATTTCTACCTACATTTATTTGTTTATTGTATTTTGGCGGGGAATTAATTGTATGTTTATTTATTTATTGAGCATTTATTTATGTATTTATTTTTTAAATATGGCAGAGTTGGTCCTCTATATATAAGGGGTTTCATTGGCATTAATGGTAATATTACCAAGGTTTATGTGCAAACCAAAATATTTACATTCCAGGAAATTATCTCTACAGTGCATGTTCACTCAGAAAGCTTTACTAAACATGTATTTATGATTTTAGTTCCTCTACAGGCACCGAAAAACAAACGCAAAGCGCAGAGAGAGAAACAGCCTTGCGAAATATCACCTTACTTCACCCTCTGCATGCTTCACCTTTAGCTTCCGCCTGGCTGCAGGTTTGACAGCTCCAGTTTCCATCGATTAAACCCGTTAGTTCTACTGAAAAAAGTTATTAAATCTATTTAAAGTGACTCACTTGGTGTTGCAGGATAGTTTGATGCACTATCCGGGCATAATTGTCCAGTTTAACCCCAGAATTGCTTCGACTTCTCATGTTAGCAAAAGGGGGCGGGGTTCTGGCTTCTTCAGGCGAGGACACAGAGTTCGGAGGAGAAACCCTCTAAGTTCTGGACAGAAAGCTCATTTCTGCTGCGCTGCGCCGAAATGCGGGCAGCCCGGGAGAGAAAAAGGACCCTGGGAGGCTGAGAGACACGAACAAGCTGCAGAAGCAGCTGGAGACTCAGCGAAACCAACTGAAACCCGAAGCCGCGCGGATGACGTTACCGGAAGCAGCTGTTATGCCGGCTCACGCCTTCAAAATAAAAGTATGGAGGACCAACTCTGCCATATTTAGAAATAAAAGCAGAAATAAATAAATGCTGCATAAATAATAATAAAAAAAGCAGTGGCGTTACTTAAGTAGAAGTATAAATACTGCAGTT